TTTTCGCTGCCGGCGCCGCCACGACGCTGCGAGACGCGCACGATACAGTACCCATGGGCACGGTAGCGTGACGCAAGCGGCGAGGGCGAAGATGATCGATGCGGCGTTGGATGGTCAACGGCCTACTCTATTAAAGAGCAGGAAAGCCTCGAAGAAGGGTCCTCTACTCGACTCTACCGATGGCGTATGGCATTATTCGTTGGACGCCTGTGCTATTAGAGTGTTTTCTACGGGCGCAGAGCTTGCTAAGACTTCGGTCGACGGCGCGGTCGATGGCGGGACTTCCACGGACGTCTCTCTCATTGAAGCCGCCTTGTTGTCTTTGCCTTTGTCCGCAGCAGCAATCGCTGCAGGCTGCGACGACGCGGTATCCGCCGACGTGCGCACGTTGGACGGCGATATGGCAGCAGACGGCGGATCGCTTGACGACGGTTCATTACCAGGTGCGGCGGTGGGCTCAGTCGACACTGGCGCAGCGTCCGTGATGGCAACAGGTTCGTCGGCACTCAAGACCGAGCGCGTCGGCGCCGAATGGGCCTTCTTCTTCCACGGCTTGTCGGCGCTGGCGCGTGGCTTGGCCACGCTTGCGGTCTCTGTCGGCGCAACGACAGGTGCCTCCGTGGTCGCTCTCGGAGCTTCTGGCTCCTTGGTTGACTTTGCGATCTCGGTATTGCGCGGTCCTAGCACCTCGGCGCCTTGTGGTACCGCTGCCGCTGCCGGTACCATAGTGGGTTGCACCGATAGCGCATCGACGCTGGCTGCCGTCACGCTGGTCTTGGCCTTTTTCGCCCACGGCTTGACTACTGCTCGAGGTTTCTCAAGTTTCAATGCCGTGTCGACGTGTGGTGCCGCCAGGACATCGGTCAACAGCGGCCTCGACGTCGTGTCGACAGTTGGCTGTGGCGCCGAGGCAGTCATGTCTGACGTTGGCGGTAAGGGTCGCTCTGGCGACGCCGTCACGATCGGCGGCGGACGACTGTCAATAAGAGTGCGGTGGTCGGTCTTTGGTGGCGCGACCATGGGCATCGGGACATGATTCTTCCGTCGCCGCGTGCTGTGCACGTGCACCCAGCACTGTGGGCAGAAATGACGGCTCTCTTCGCAACTCTTGCAGAGCAAGACAGCCTTTTGGTCGGCGCACTCTTCGCAGAGCCCTTTTCGAATCGCGCGGCCGCGGACCAAGACAAAATGCTGGGCTCGAATCTAGTTTGACAAGTGTATACTCCCTCTACGCTAATGCTCAGATGGATGCATTCTACCTCGTGGGCTGCTTGTCGGCCACGGTGGCCTCGGTACTGGGCTTGGATACGCAGCGCCATGTTGTGTTTGCGCAGTTGCGCATAGTCGATGGCGCTCGACGGCGGCGCGACCGGTCGTGGCAACTGCCGGCTCTCTTCCTCGAGCTGCCGCCGACGCTGTGTGTTGAAGTGAATCTGTGCACTCACTTGGGCCACGAGGTGCTTGGTCTGCGCCTGCACACTCGCGTCAAACCCGTCGCCGTATGCATCCCCCTCGGTCTTCTGTCGGCGGTAGGCGTGCAGGCGCGGCGGCAGCGTGCTGGACGAGGCAGGCGTCGGCTCGAACTGCATCTTGTGGCTGAACGCCAGCCACGGCAGCTCGGTCAGCGTCGGGTCTGTGCCCACAAACACCGCCAGTGGGTCGTCGGACGCCGGCGCGTCATCGGGCGGCGCCACATTAAGCGACGCGACGTACTCTTGCGGCCAGCACCACACGCGGTCGACGTCCGTGTACGGCCAGTGCTCGGGGTGTCTAGTCCATGGTGTGACGACGTCATCGAGTGAGCACGAGCTGTACCGGCGCATGTCGTAGACGGTGCCGGCGACGGGCATGTCGTAGATGCGCGGTGCTTTGAGGGACGTCATGATGTTCTTGTGCGTTGTGAGTGCTTCGTGGCGCCGGCGCCGGAGCTTTGGCAACGGATAGTCGTTGATGGACGCCCCTTGCTCGAGCTACACGTCGTCTCGGTCCCACTGCGGTTAGGTTTGTATGGGGCCTACCGAAGGCATCGGCGGGGGTTGGCTCAGTGCCGCCATGCGCCGCTCACAACGCGCGAGGAGAGCTTTCTTTTCGAGCTCGGCGTCTGCAGGGTCGAGACAGGTTTGTGTTCCATGTAAAATGCCCAAGATGCAAAAATGCAGGAAAATGTACCTGCACGCTGGGCACGAAACTCCTTCTTGTGGTGCGCCAGATGCGCGTGGGTCGTCTTGGCTTGGTCCGAGAGACGCGTATACGCGAGCTTGCGCAGCTGGAGCTTCTCGGCCTTGGTTGCGTACTCGGGTACCGCGTGCTTCCACGGCGCCGTCCTGGCAAGCGCGTGGACCCGCTGTTTGATCGTCTGCTGAAGCCTTGTCTTGGTCTGTAGATACACCTCTGGGTCGATAGCGGCGTCGGGTGCGGGCGCCGTGCCGATCGACGACTGCGTGCTGCTGGCGACTGATGCTTGCTTCCAGTAGCGCTCGTCGTCGTCGTCTTCGTCGTCGGTCGACGACCACTCGAGGCGCGCGTTGGCCTTGTACGCTCGGTAGTCGTTCCAGCGCTTTTGAATGACACGTGCAGCGCGCGCTTGCCGGAGCGCCATGAGCTTCTCGTACTGGTCTGGCGAGATTGACTCCATGTAGAGCAGTTGCTGCTGGTGATGCCAGATGCGCTCGCGGCGCTTCTTGCTCTCCGACTCGAACGCAGCCTAGACGTCGTTGGTGCAATGACGATATACGCCTCGTACAGCGATGCGCACCTGCTCGAGGCGGAAGCCCTTGTACTCGACGAAGCGCCGACGGACGTAGCGGCCGCGCTGCCGCGCCTGGAGCGTCGTCACCGCCCGCTACGTGGGTATGCTAAGGTTAGCCTCGGCCTCGCTGCTGGCAGGACGCCATGCGATCGCACCTCGAATGTGGCGGCCTTTTGGCGGTACGCCACACCCTTCCATCGGGCTTGGATGAGCGCAGCCGCTTGGTCGGGCGTCTTCATCGTGGATACGCTGCGCGCGATTGGCTGAAAAGGGATAATTTCAGCCAATCCAGAGTTGTATGTTTTATAATTGTAGCCAATCACACAATCCCAGCGAGAAAAGATACGCTGCTGGCGTTGAAGGTGGCTTGACGCACGACACAAGCGGCAGTCGGGTGCAACCAAAAGCTCGACGGGGACAGGGTCATCATGTTACTGGCTGAGCTAACTCTTTGGCTTGGACGATAGTCCATAGCTCTATATACTCAAAATTGGCATGTACCACAAACCTGCTCATGGCCATGGCCGCTGCTTGGCAAGATGCGGCGCGTCTTCAACATCGTGTGCTGGCCACAGATTGCAATGGAGGCAGGTCCTTGAAGCTGCGGGCGCGCCGGAATCTTGACGGTCGCCAGCGTATCCTCCCACGGCCATGTTCGAAGCGAGCGAGAGCGGGCCGGGAGAGCGCGTTGGTTCGATGTGCCAGTAGCTACTACCATGTATACCCTTGCTACTACACATCTTAGCTTTGCCCGGTCCTTCAAGAACACTGTCGCTGGCATGTAGTTTGCACAGGTATCAAGATTCACAGGGCCTACAACCACCCTGCTACTCATGGCGGCTGGTTCTCTGCAGTTGGAAGCGTCGACTATCAATGAGCCCGCAGCCTCCAACCCAACCGCCGTCGGCTAGCCAGCATCTGTGACAAATAATCGCCGAGGTGGCGGCTAGCGGCGAGGCCAAGGCCATGTATTCTCAGCGCACGAGGACACACGTAGCACTGGCCTACGTGGGATGGTACACATTGCTCGACGTCTACCATTGTTTGCGTCGACCATCGCTGGACGGACGCGCATTGTTCTACCGCTGTGCAGCGCTCGGTCGTCGTCGGATATGCAATGACAGAGGCCATCGAAGTTCTGGAAAACCTTCGGAACATGATATTTGAGTGCTTCAACATCCGAAATGAGAGGTTTTCAGCCTGCAACTGCGATCTTGCAGTTTGGCTTTTTCGGGCAGATGGCGTCAACGCTGCAGAAGGAGCACTTGAAGCGGTCGCTCTCTGGGTCCCTCGACATGCTCAAGCTCTTCTCGGCCGACTTTCTCGAGACGTCGCAGTCGATCCAGGACCAGCTCGAAGCCCTCGAGCGCAAGGAGAAGCAGTGGGAAGACCTCGAGCGCCGGCTCCAGCGCAACGCGTCCAGCGCCGCCAACGTCATTACGCTCGACGTCGGTGGCACCATCTTCCGCACATCGAAAGACACGCTCTTGCGGCTCGATGGCACGTACTTTCAGGCGATGCTGGGCTCGGGCCATTGGCAGCCCAACGCCGAGACGGGTACGCACGCATCCATAGATAGCGTGTTGCTCATCGCACATGTTGCAGGGGCCTACTTTATCGACATTGACCCGATTCATTTCGACCGCGTCATGGTCTACCTACGCACGGGCGAGCTCTCGTTCGACGGGCTCAGCGACTGGGAGGTGCGCCACTTGCGCACGACGCTCGACTACCTCAACATCAGCACGCCACGCGAGCTCCATGCGCCCTCGGAGCGCGATACGGCAAGCCTACAGTGGAACGCGCACCTTTGTTCGGCAGGCTTGAGCCTCTCCGACGACGGCACGTCGGTTCAGCGCGCCAATGCACCGAGCCGGAGCGTGTCGCATTCGGTACTGGGCGCGTCGTGCGTCGACGTCTACGCGCTGCGGCTCGAGCGCATCACGACGGTGGGCAACGTGCTCGGGAAGCTCTTTGTGGGCCTCGCGCCGCGCAAGGGCTTTGGCGTCTACTCGTACAACCCCGAAGTGTCGGGCTACTACGTCGAGCTGCGCCACGGCACACTCTACGCCCAGGACGGCATCCGTGGCACGCCGTACTGCGCCGGGTTTTCCGAAGGCGACGTCGTCACCGTGCGCTGGCGCCGCGACGTTGGCGAGATCCACTTTGAGAAGAACGACCAAGAACTCGGCGTCGCCTTTAGCGGGCTACCCTCGGACCTCGAGCTCTTCCCGGCCGTCGACATGTACTACCACGGCGCGCACCTCTCGTTCGTTCAATAAGTTATCTATGTGTGTTGCATCGACGCTCGACCGTATTGCTTTGTACATATCATCTCCACCATGGCGGACCATCATGTGGTGACATGACAAGCTTTCGATGGACCGAGACGTTAGAAACGAGGGAAGATGCACCGAGACGGCCCCATGCGGCACGGGCAGCGTGCTTGGTGGTCGGCTTGTATCAATCCAGCGACCTCCCTTGCTATGCTTCGCTTACGACAGGCGGTGGAGGCGCCCATATCGGGCGTTTTGGCAGCTATCGAGTGGCTCATAGGGCTGGCAGCGCGTCCAGGCACAGCCATTCCTCGACGTCCGTGGACGTTGTGATAGCATCGTGTCGTCAAGACCGCGGCAGCGGGGGCAGCTTGTTGAGTCTGGTTTGGCCAAGCCATGTCCGGCCGATGCAAGCGTGCATCGCTGGAGAGTTATGACTCCAGGAAGCAAGGAGCCTAGAGTCTGGGTAGCCTGTGTGCGGGATGTAGATAGGTGCCATATACGGATGGTGATGGACATCATAGATCCTCTTGACAAAGGTCTCATTATCGTTCTATCCACAACGCTGGCCTCCATAGACTCAGTTCCGAATCTGCCTTCGTGGCGTAGCACAGTACAACTGCCTGCTTCCTGGGAGATGGCTCTCCCCTCGCTGCTTAGTTGGCGTTGCACCGCGGAAGCCACCACAAGGTCGAGACTGATGCGCGTCTCTGCTTCTGAGCTCCCCAACACCTCGTTTGCTGCGTTTGCTCCCAGCTGCAATGGGTGACCGCTGCAGTCTGCGCGTAGATCGGCATGATGCCATGGACAGGTGAACCGAGTTGTCGACTTAGCACAGTAGGTATGTTGATCGATCCCAGAAGGATGCGTTTAGAACATGTGTACATGACACCAAGCGAGGCTACGGCGACGTTCGGAAGCTAGACTTCTCATGAACTAGACGGCCATTGCTATACACGTTAGCGCGCCTCTTGACGTGCGCACGCGACGAGAAGCACGGCAAGAACCGGCGGCCAACCAAAAATATGGTCGTCAGCAAGCCCGACTAAGCCTAGTACTGTACTAGGTACGCGTCTCGTCCTACCCAAAGTACTAGCTTCATCTTTAGTTGGTTATTCTCTGTACTATGCTACGGCGATGCGAGTGCGGTCTCGAGGCCGAGGTACTCGATCGTTTGACGGAGCTGCTTGGCGTCCCAGGCGCAGAGACCGTCGAGGGCAATGAGCTCGCCTGTCCGGACATGTGCCATGATCCGATCGAAGTGGGTCGGGTTCACATCCACAAAGTAGCTTCCGTCCTCTAGTACACACGGTCGTCTCTACCTCGTGTACGAGCGCAGTCGGAAGACGCACCGTGGGTCGGCGCTGTCGAGAGCATAACGGCAAAGTACGCATCCGGGTCCCGAAGCAAGTTGGCTTTGGCGGTCTGGAAGCGCTGGCCGCCGACGTTGAGCGTGATGAGGTCGGCGGCCACGCGCGCGTTCTCTTGGACGGACGCGCAGAGTCGCTCCATGTGACGTTCCTTGTGTACGAGGAGCTCGAGCTGCGCTTGGAGCAGCGACGACATGGTCGCGGTCTCGAGCTCAAAGTAAATCGGGTGCTCGGAGCCAAGGCGGTGCGCGCACGCTTCGATGAGCTCCATGACATCGACGAGGAGGATGCTAGCACATTGCCATGAGCGTCACTGCTGTCGCCAGGAGGAGGCACGTACAGCTTGCCAGCGACAAACTTGGGCGAATATTCGATGAGCTGAATGACGGCGTGGAGCGTGATCCCGCCAAGCGTAAAGCTCTAGTCACAGGTGAGAAGACTGCCGCGGCGAGAGCGACGTACAGACGAGAGGTCGGGGCCAAGGAGGCACGAGATGCAGTACGTGCCATCCGAGAGCACAAGGCAGTAGCGCGCCTTCTCGACCACGGATGCGGGCTGGATCATCTTGATGTGGACGACCTGCAGGAAGGGCTGGAAGCCGCCGGCCGACGACGGCTGGTCATGGAGCTGGCGGATCGCGTCCGAGGACAAGCGGTCGGCAATCATCTCGCCACGTTCGTTCGACACTGTGGCGTGTCGGCCACACCGCCTCCTCTCGGTGCTTTAAAAACACGCAACTTTTGGCCCGCGACGACGGACCGACGCATTATGCCAGACGCGCCGTCGCGGTGCAAGCACCACAACAAAAACCCAAGTAGTAGTAGTACATTGTAAAGGGTAGTAGCTCCGACTCGACAGCATGATCCACCACGGGTGGGCGACGTCCCGATCAGGTACTACCCTTGACGATGCAACGATGAGACTGCTCGCGTGGGCACCGCATGTCGCGGCGTCGTAGAGACGCAAGCTGCTTCGTCGTCGTTCTTGCAGTAGCAGCAGTCGTCGACAAGTGCAACGATGACGGCCAAGTCGCCGCGGTGTCGACTTTAATGCATTGGGTGCGCGCCAAGTGGCGTGTTTTTATCCCGCTGTTTTCAACGTGTTTAAAACTGCCGAAAGTGCACTTTCGCATCGCTGATGGTCGTCGACACTGCAGTGGCGTCACGACTGACGCCATGCCAAGCCATCGACGGACCGTCGACTGACCATCGGCTGGCCATCGACTGACCATCGACTTGCTATCGACGACGCCACGAAATTGACGCAGCTAGTGTACAGCCGCAGGATGCAAACCCTTTGCCACATTTGATCCAACCAGAGAACCAGAGTAGAAGATGAAAAAAGCATCACTAGCCCCTAGCACCCAAGACGCCTTAAATGCGCGAGACGTACGAGCTGGACTGCGTCACGTAGCGCACCCAGCGCTTGTACTTGTAGTTGGGGTGGCGCGCGTGCTCGGGGATCCGGAGGTACCGGACTTGGAGCGTCGAGACGTTGTACATGGGGATCTCAAAGTTCATCGAGACCGGGCCAATTTCGCGGCGCACGTGCTGGCTCGGGCCGCTCAGCGTGATCTTGGCGCGCAGCGTGAGCTCGGTCGCGCCCGCAAAGCGCTTGATGGCCCAGCGCACTTGGTTTTCATTTTCGCGGAATTCCGCGAGCTGCCCGGCCGTGTTCTTGCCAATGTCGCACGAGACGCTGATCGTGTTTTGCGGTACCGGGAAGCGGATGATGACGTTGGCGCCGTAGTTGTTGTCGGGCATGTCGGCGCGGACCTTGAGGATCATTTCAATCTTGGTCGGCGACTGCTCCTCAACAAACGGAAAGATGCGGAATGGGGCACGAAAGTCGCCCGTGATGCGGTAGTTGATGACCTAGCCACAAACAACATGAGAGACGCATGAAGGCGCATTCGCAGATCGTACCGTGAACTCGCCGTCGGGCGGCGTGAAGACGAGGACGCGGTCGCGCTCAAACTCGTCGAGCTGGACGCACTCGTGAAAGTTGCAGTCGTCGAGCACGACTTGGCCATACGACGACGACTTTTGCCCAATGACGAGGTCCTCGTTCAGCGCAAGCCGCAGCTCCGGGTTGCCAGCGAGGTACGACTTCATCTGGATGCGGCCTTCGACGCTCGCGTTGAGCATCTGCCCGCTTGGCGCAAAGACGACGTTGAGGCGCTCGAGGATGTCGCAAAAGAGCTCGTTCTCGTCCTTCTTGTTGGCCGATTGACCCGTGGCCACGGGCTTGCGCACGGCGTTGGCCGCCTTGATGTTGGACGGCCGACCGAGGAGCGTGCTCGGCTTGGCCTTGGCCAGCGCCGCGTCGCCGACGAGGATCGCTTCGTTGTGCACGTGTACCTTGAGGCCTTCCGTGCTTGTGTCCTGCGCGTAGCCAAAGTCGAGCGTCTCGTCCAAAAGCTCGTAGCACAAGATGAAGTTCTTGCGCAGTGTCTCTTCCGAGAGGACGCCGCAGTAGTCCTTGAAGACACGGCATAGGCGCGTGAGGAGCTCGAGGATGTAGGCCGGCGACACGTTGAAGCGCGTTGTGGCCACAAAGTAGAGGCCATTCTTCTTGACGTACAAGTAGTTGACGCCGTCAATGTGGAAGGCTGGCGGCGCGTCGCCCTTCTCCCAGAACTTGGCCTTGCGGAAGAAGATCTCGGCGCTGTCGCTGGCCACGTCGCCGCGGAAGTCGTTGGCGAGCACCGTGTCCCCGCGGCTGCTAAGGATGTAGAACTGCGAGATGGACATGCTGCTGCCGCCGCCGCCGCAGGAATGCAATTGTTGCACACGGCGCGAAAACCTCCCGCTACGAATGCTTCGAGATATGGCATTAAAAGATAGAGGTTCTGCCACGTCACGGAGCAAGCCACGTACTTGGGACGACTGAGAGGCTTGGCCGTTCTCTCGGTCGGAGGGCCCAGCGCACAGCCGTAGGTGCTGTACAGCAGGACGCGTCGCGGGACGGTGCAACGCGCCACGACAGGCCTGCATGTACATGTATGTACCGGAAGGGGAACTGCCGTAGGGGCTGCAGTAGCATCGAGTGTCTTTGGGTGCTGCCGCCTCTGGTCCATGCGAGCTGTCCGTGGGTGGCGACAGAAGCACGACGACGCGCGTATGTGGCCGCCAGTAGCTTGCACTGAGGCACATCGCATTCTGCAGCATCCTGTCGGCCGCATGTTGAACCCGCGCAAGATCCCACGCTGGGTACACCGTGACACCCCGCAATCGCGACGTCGGGTAATGCTAGTGGCGTCGACCCCGCTGCCACTGTGGCCGGCGCCGACGACGACCAACCGCCTCTGACGTCCACGCACGCAAACCACAACACATAAACATCCATCGAGACAAAACAAAATAAATTAATAAGGCCGACCAATGCTTCACGGCTTGGCCTCGGGCGACGGGACGCTGTGCCGCGAGATGCGCGACGCCAGCGATGGCAGACGCTGGGGCGGGAGGCCGTCTTCATAGACACTGGTATGCGCGCTGTACATGGATGGTGGCGGCGGAATCGCCGTCACTTCCTCCGAGATGATGTTGACGAGCTTCTGGAGCACGCGGGACCGGAACGCTTCCCGCGCTTCGCCCTTGAGATACGACGGCGTCGGCACCGTGATCTGGTCGCCGACGTCTGGCATCGGCGGGTGGTGCACATGAGCGTACCCTTGTCGGTTCTCGTAGTAGCCATACGCGGGCGGGTACATCATGGTCGGGTAGGCCGGGTACGGCCCATTCATGGGCGGCATCGACGACGGTGGGTACGGGAGCGGCTCGTCGTAGCTGTGGGCGCTCTGCGGCGACTCGTACGGCGAGTAGTGGCGTTTCTGGCGCATCTTGGAGTCCATTTTGCGCTGGTTTTGGTTCTGTTTTGCGCGGTGTTCGTCGCAGAGGTTGTGGGCTTGGCCGTTCGTCTTGAGCGCGCGCTCGTTCTTGCACTTGCCAGTCTTGTAGAGGCAGTGGCCGCGGAAGCTGTGGGCTTCGTCTTGCTGGCTGCTGTTCTCGCGCGCGGTCGGGGTCAAGGCGGCCATCGTGGGCTTCAAAAGGCAAATTCGCAAGTGGCACCCAACGTGGCGGACCAAAATCAGTGATAATTCCAAGATGGTGCCCGCCAGCTGGACCAGAATCAGTCTTGCCTCGTCTATGCAGGCGACGTGGGCCCGGCGCAGAAACAAGAGTGCCGACGCTGGTGCCGGATCAGGCTGTGCATTTTGTCGCTTCCCCACGCGTCGTCCTGGTGATTTAGAGAGTCATCGGACGCCTATGGAAAATCGGCATATCGACGTCACGCCAGGTGCACTGTGACGAGGTGCAGTCCTTGTACTGTACCGTACTGCAAGCGCAACGAGATGGGTAGCACACGTGGTGTATCCTTCTGATCCTGAGCCGGTGGACCGCACTCAACTCAGCCTGCTGCAAAATGGAGCAAGGCGGCTACGACTTGTGAACGCCATGAACGCGGAGACGGCGTGGTGCTGCGTGGCGACGACGACGGCCGTGTCGCGGCTGCCGCGTAACGCTGGCGAATGTGCTCAGAGTGGGATGATTGGAAAGGCTGTGCCGCCTGCGACGTATGTACTACAAGGCCAACGCTTGGTGGACCACCAGGTCTCAGAACGATAACCACAAGATGTGGTGTGAACCAGACACAGGTTCCTGCGCCGCGACAGAAACGGTCCCACGCCAGTCCGTCGGATTTGTTTGTGGCGTCGTCCCACAGCGCTGGATTCCTTCACGGCTTTCCCAATGCGAATGACTTGCCCCTCGCACGGCGCGCCGAGCATAGTGCTTTGGCAGCCCGCGAGTTGAGCATTTGGGAGCGGCGTCGCTGAACATATTGTTTCTCATGCTGCTTGGGATCTTGGTGTCTATGACACTGCCGTTCTCAGTTCAACAACCACGCTGCTGGTTGATAGAACACGAGACCATGAGAGCGCATTTTAGTACAGGAGATTTGCCACCACCACCCAAGACGCGCTCGCCCATACTACATACGCTTGCTGTCGCCAGAGAAAGGCCCTCATGGTGTCGACGGACGATATCATGCTCTGTTGATGCGACGGCCTACGTGTACGTGTGCATGGCGGCCATCGCATTTGCCACAGCGAAAGGCGACCTGCGCGCCACCCACATAGCTCCACTGACGCAGCGCTAAGGTAAAATCAGCAACACTCGAACGTTGGACTTGGTCTTTTCCTGTACCGGTACCTCCCTCACATACGTCCCTCGGTATGCAGGAAGCAACTGACACGGTGTTATATGCGAACGTTTGTTGGCATGTAGTATCACGTGTTGCGTCCTCGTGATGTAAACAATGGAATCTTTGCTCCCAGCGGTTGCAGACCACTTTCAAAGGGTTTGGTGCTCTGGCTGGACGTGTATGTAGTGTAGTCGTCCTGGCTCACACAGCGTGCGAATGTACCTGCCCATAATGCGTGGACGCGTGGATCTGAGACGGCACGAGCCGTGCAAACGGCATGTGTTAATGGATGGTTGGCGTCGCGCGTGGAATCTGATAATGGTCATGCCGGCTCTTGCACCCAGCGTGCACATACGTCGGCGCGAAATGATGATTGGATGCTACACCTCACTCTACCCAACGTCGCGCCGCTCCCTGCTTCTGAGTCGATCACGCACGCATTTCTCCTTCGCGAGGTGCGTTTTACCCGACGTTGTTGGTGTCTTTAACGCGTTCAACCGCCCGCAAAACCTGATCACATGAAAATAGTGTAGCCTGGTTCAGTGACTTCATCGTAGCAAGCACATCATTTGTGAAGAAGCATCGCAGTGCTGTACGCTTGAGGGTGGGGTACCGAGCAGGCAACGAAGCGTCGCCTTGCAGTACACTAGCACCCAATAGTATGAGGACAACGCCGCGACTTTTGATCGACGAGATCCTCGAAGTACTCCGCTCGTTTGATGGTTCTAAACCACTGGGAAGGAGGTTTTCTATTTTGTACTTGGAGTCCTGGACAATGTACTCTTCCTTTTTTCTACTCCCGTGCCTCACATACCTCTCCGCAAGCTGCAAGATCGGCCACCACAATGCTGAGGGATACGTCGTCGTCGTTTGTTGTTGTTGGTGTTGTTGTTGCTGCTGCTGTGCGTTTGATAAAAGGTGGTCGACTAACGTTATTTTGATTATCAAGATGACAAGTTCGTGACTCGAAACTGTCAAGCTGGTACTTGAGGCAGTGCAGTGCCCAAAGCAGTGGAACGAAGCAAAGTGAAAAAAGTGGCGGCCAGCGCGAAACAAGCCAGAACGGAACCCAAACAGAAGTGAGAGACCGTGAGGTATCCACAGCCAATAGACCGGAATACCTTCAAGACATTATGGGGCATGCTAGCTGCGAGAGAGGGAATAATCCTTAAGTGGGAAATACCCAATGAGAGGCGCTGAAGATGTTTACACCAGTGGCGTGCTACCTTCAAAGCCGGACACGCCGAAAGCGATCGGTCTGCTCAGGGTCTTGTACGAAGCTGTGTGAGAAGGTGAAATCGAGCGACTCTTGAAGGGTCTTGGCAGTATTAAATCGGAGCAGGAGACGCGACCACTGCAGACAATCTGTCTAGCAGACACTTGGCCCATGTCTAACCCACCAGCTATGTCTGGTTTGCCGACAGCGACTCCGAAGCACACTTGTCGGACGACAACGACAATCTCTCAGAGACGGATGACCAAACTGGGAGCCTAGAGAGGCTCGTCGTACAGCCCTGGTTCAAGGTACTTGGCGCGTTCGTGCTGCTGGTATGTCGTAGGCTGATGAGAAGTGGTTGCCTGAGAGCGTCGTCGGCAGGGCCACGCCCGTGGAACTTACGTTTCTTGAACGAGCCAGAAAAACAATTGACACACCTGGTGATCTCTTTACAGACATATTCTGCGTTAATTGACAAAAGATCTGAAAAGCGTGGGATTTGACCCATGTGTTGGGCATTTTAGAGCAATGCCAGCCGCACGATGATGGGCCATGGAGCGACATGTGGCGTCGGGTAATTCTACATGGTGTATCTACGTGAATACTGAATGTAAGATAATAAGTTCTGCTTGTAACACATCTCACATTTTGTATTGATATACTGAACATGGGCTTTTTTTGTCAATTAACGCCGTTGTCAATTAACGCAGAGGATGTCTGTAATAAACTGCGAAAAGCAGCACATTTCAACTGCATGGGTTTGGAAGTGAGAGATAGAATCACAATTGGTCAATTTGGGGCATGTCAGCCAGAAATTGGCTTGGATTGCCACGCTTTGTTCACATTTCTGGTTTTTACAATACCATGAGTCAACGGTTTGGACACGGAAACCGCAGGTATCAAACACACGAAACACCCCAATTCGCGCATGACATCTCACACCTTCATGATGTACCTCTTTGACAATGGATCGAACCACTACGCTCGACTAGAGTCCTCCGACGAACCGACTTGTCACGGGTGACTCGCACCAAGTATTTCAACGCTCACTGCTCTCTTGGAACGGCAAAATTCGATTTTCTGGCTGCGGAGTACCATGAGGCCCAAGCGAAATGTCATGGACCCGAGAGTCACTCGGTAGGGTATACGAGTACATCCAGGCGACAGGACTTGCTAGGAGGGTAGGACGCGCTAGTACCACGATGGAGGCATAAAGCTAACGTTAGGTATTATATATGAACGTGTTTCGCGTTATCTTCATAGTTAGGTATTGATTGATACATCGTCATTTTGCATGTCGCCGTGTCGCTTCTAACCCGCCACGCATACTGTATCCCAGCGACTAGCACTCAATCGAACCCAACGTCGTACGAGATGAAAACACCATCGCTTAACCATCCGCTTCGTTTCGCGTGCTCAACCTTCTTCGATGTCAAACGACGACCAGCTACTTCAACTGTGCGCAAGGTCGGCTGGTCCTTTCTAGCGCACGAGCAGCTCGCCAACTGTGTGTTTGTTGAAGCGAGTCTCTCTGGATTCAATTTGGTTTGGACTATCGCAGACCCATGGTAAACTCGCATTTCGCCCGCTCTCACCAAATACTAGTAGCAATGGATGGATATGCGTGCACCCAAGTCAGCTGACGTGGGATGGGAAGACTCAACTTCACACGAGGTTGTCAGCGTTTGGCAACGCGTCCATCAACAACTTCTCCTGCAACCTTAGGTGCGTTCACGCTGAAAAATTCCGACGAAGCCGATGGACGCACAATCGGCTTCACCTGATCGCAGCGCCAGGCTCAGCTCCACGTATCGTTGAAGATGCAATGCCCAAATGAACGACGAAAAATTAAAGATACATGTTGGTTCGACTTTCGTACTCCCTGGACAGTGTCAGGACACCCTCCCACGACTGCGCAGGGTGCACCTCGTGCTGCGGGGGGTACGGGGGGTAATATACGTGGTGGGGCGGCGCGACCGCTGGCATCGTGTGCTTTGGCTGGGTAAAGTCCGAGGCCAGGACTTCCTCTGACACAAGTCGCACCAGCTGTTGGATGACTTGGGCTCGGTACGCTGCGCGGGCAGTCGGGTCATGGGCGCTCTGGGGCGCCCATAATGTTGGCGACTCGGGGGCCGGCTGGAAGCGCACCGCTGGACTTGTCACCATGGCTTCGTGGCGCGCCGCTTGCTTTGCGCGCACCTTCCAGTCGAGCCGGCGCTGGTTTTGGTTTTGCTTGAGGCGGTGGAGGTCGCAGAGGTTGTGGGGCTGGCCGTTCGTCTTGAGCGCGCGCTCGAGGAAGCACTTGCCCGTCTTGTAGAGGCAGTAGCCGCGAAAGGTGGTTGGCGGTGCATTGGACGACCGGGCCCGTGAGGCCGTTGTGCGGGCCATGCTGCAGTTTGTAAAATGAGGTGATTGAGAACCTCAAGTGAGAATGAGTGTTATTTGACGCAAGGTGCGAATGATAAAACGTACAGATGGGCATTGCCTTTCTGAGTCGACGTCTGAGTTTGCCGACCCGCGATACCCGCGACATGTGTGAGCCAGGCTGCTCATGGCCACACATCGCCGACGACGACAGCGTTCGAGCGGCGATTGGTTGCACCTGATTCCATACTTTTACCGCACGAGACCGAAAGGTTGCAGAGCGATGTCAAAGACACAAAACGTTGAGCTGGGTGTTCGAGGCAGCTAGAATGGCTCCATGCATCGTGTGGGGTACGGATTGCATCTTGTAGAGTGTACATATCCTCGGCTCCTGCTCGAAACGGCCATCGCAAGGGGACGCAGCGACGCCACCAAACCACCCAACCCACACTCGACGTCCAGCGCGCAATCACATCGACTTGGGTCTGGGTGCGCAACGCTGGAGGGTTTGACGACACTGGTTTGACGTCGTCTGAGTTGAGTTGCGCGCATGCTTTTGGTGATCAGTCCCACGGTACCTACTTCTCTCATATGCGCTAAACGAGCACAAGACGATTCCAAATCAAGTAAAATCATGTAAATCATGTAAAATCATGTAAAATCATGTAAAATCATGTAAAATCATGTAAAATCATGTAAAATGAACCTTACCACGGTTGCGGTTGCGTTCCATTGTTTGATACGCGCACCAAGCACCTCTAACGAGAGGAGGGCTCGAACCAACAATACCTCGCTCCTCGCTCCGTCTAGAAGGGGATCGGGTGCGAATCCATGGCACGAGAAGCCGGGCACACCCAGTTTACTCACATTTCGTGGGATGTATAATAGACGTATACTAGTACACTCCACTTGAGTACACTCCAACTGCGGTCCTTCTCATTGCTGTAAACCTCAAACCCAAATGCCACACGCGTCTTGATCCAACAAATGGACCCTGTTGCAAGCATTAAACGCTCGCTCGGCGTTGTCAACCCAAAGGTTGTACGTGGGCCTACGACACCACTTCGTATCGAAACGATGTTTGTCCATTCACCTCGGACACGCAGTCGTTTTGACGGAGCAATCGTGTAGAGGGGGCGGCAACTCACGCATGCAGTTAGCAGACGGATCTTGGTAGCTACCTTGGTCGTAGTTGTAGTGTGACAGGCAGCTAAAACGGTGCCCCGTACCAACGTTGAGGCGCCAACAACGCCATCACTCTGGTCATTGTCGATGGGGGACCGTTGAACGCACTCGGACAGGGCACGGGCGAGTACATGATTTCTATTGCGATTTTGCTCAGCGAAAGTCGACGCTGACGACAGATGGCGATGGTGACAATAATGATTCCATGACTTGTGTCGTCCGGCGTCTCACTCGGAAACACTGATCTGCTCAAGTTGAAGGCCAAAACTTTGTCTGACACGAGTTGCGCAACCCATTGGATGTGGGAAGGGGCATAGAAGCGCTGCTCCTCTTGTTGG